TGAGCATCTCATTTTTATTACTGGCTTTTATAGCAGCTGTTTCTTGTAAATTTTATTCTACATACTTTATGAACAATAAAACTGTAATTTTATAATTCATAAAATACATTGGATAAAATTCAGGTGCATAACTTTATGAACAGTCTGTTCTATGAATTTAATAGGAAAAAAATATTGTATTGCAGTAGATNTCGGTCTCTATGATAAATTGTTAATTTGTTTTTATATATTTCTAATATATTTATAATAATTTATATTTTGAAAAACTGGAAAATGTTTTCATATTTTGAAGTAGACGAACTGTTTTAAAAACGATTATATTATTATTATTTATATAACAAGTGAAGATAATATTATTTTTATCTTTCTAATCTGTTCTCATTTTGTTCTACATTTTGCTCACGTCAATATATTTTCAATCAACTAAATGCTGTTCTACGTAGGCCTTTTGTTGCTATTCAAAAAATTTCTTCATAATACTACAATTCGTTTTACGTCATTAACTGAACTTATTTAATATTATGTAATAAGAGAAATTTAAATTTCTCTAAATGATTTTATTTTCGGAAATTCAATAACAAAAAAAAGTGATATTTTTATTACAATATAATATCAAATTTAATAGTTAGGTTGACGCAAAAGTTTCCTACAATTAAATCGGACATATAATTTTTCAGATGAATTTATTTTGTTTACGTTAAAGTTCTGGTCATTCGCCATTTTATCGTAAAACTTATTGTATTGCCAATCGTAGTTTTGCTTTATAATTAGCATTGTTTTCGTGGCTTCAATATTTAATTTCGACTTTTATTTTGCTACTGGAATTTACGAGTGAAAATATTCCTTCAACAGAAAATACAGATCCTGATGTACAAAGGACTAATTTTATCAAATTATTAAAAATCTTGAAATTCGAGATCCTTTTTTCGGTTTTCTAAATGACTAACGAGCAATTATTTATTGTAACACGATCACAATGCAGGGCTGAAATTCTTAATTTAATTTAAAATATATGCTCTTCACCTCAAATTACTAATGACTTGCCCCTGTACATCATACTTTTCCTTTAATGGAGTCGGTCATCTATCATTCTATCTAACATCTTTCGGGAGGGGGAACTTTTTGAATCGAAATAACGTGACTTTTGGTTTGCATCGGAAATTCGTATATAGGTAATTGGGGTCACCTGCCTCCTAAGGTTTTCTTATCTGGTCTTGTATTTCATCTATCTAACTCCGTTCTTGAGATTAAGCTGGGTTTTTATTGAATCACAGTTAATAGATTATAAGTATTTTTTTCTGATAATATTTGATAATTCTATCGAAACATGAAATTCTTAGGTTTATTTTCGTGTATTGTTTGCCATGAGATGATGATATATAGATAGATTGAGAGTACTGAAACTTTGTACTGATAGTTATCTAAATAAAATAATTACATAATTTCAAGAAATAACAACTTGGAATTAATACAGGGGAACCGAGACTAGTTGTTACGACGAGTTTTTAATAGTGTTTGCTAGGTGCAACACCTCATCATTCACAAAACACGTGGCCTGTTGAATAAGTGCATCCCACGTGTATTTTAGGTTTGTTGTGGCAAGTGAGCTGAAATCGCGACGGTTCTTGTCATTTATATTCTAAAATAAATTTCTGTGTGTTATGTTTCGCGTGTGATTTTTGGCTCGAAAAGCTGAATGTATGTTGCCGTATATTGTACATATTTATGTTACTGTTTAGTTTTAATTTCATGCTTTTATTGATTAGTTTTGTTTGCTTAGTTCACGGACAGGACAAAACTAAAAGTAAAGGCGACACTCGGAGATAGTTATAACAACGCGGACGGGACACTTTGTTACACTGTTACAACTTACTTCACACTTTGGCATGTCATTGTTTTCGGTTTTATCTTTAAAAATGGTACGACATAAAAGAAAAACTCATAAAGGATCGATAGATAAAGACCCAAACGAGAAAGAAGAAAGAGGTGTTAAGGAAAGAAAATGATTTCATTGACTGCAGATATTCATAAAATCATTTTCTTGATAAATAAGTAAAGTTCTAAAAGCTGAAATGATCAATAACAAATGAGCTAAACATAAATTCAGACAGAAAAGTAAAAATTGGCTTTGTATAGTATGTTTTAAACTGTATTCGAGATGTAAATAAGACTTAGATTCAGTAGCTAGTCTGTAAGAACGGGGCCCACCAGTTCTGTAGACGGGACGATCCATTTTATGTTTGCCTGCACTGTTCGTCGGATATATCTTTTCATTCTGATATACAGATAACTAAATTTCACTAATTGTATTCATTACATTACAATAATTTCATTTGTTAATTGTTTATTTTTTTATTTTGTTGTCTGCAAATAATTCTTATATTTGTAGGAAAATCTTTGCTAACTAAATAGAACTTTTAGTTGTTACGTAATGTTTTCTCCCCCTTAAAATTTTGCTTTTATGTCTAAATTTCTATATAAACAAATTAGTGTAACAACGTCTCCCACTGTGGAGCAAGTTGAAAGAGTTTTAAGTCTTTTAAGTTCATAATACAAGTCGACCCCCTCCCTATAACACTGTTGATAATTCCGTTTTATATGAATTCCATGTTGTACGAGTCACTTAGATTTTACAAATACGTGTGCCTGGCTGTGAACGGCTCACGTATTTATAAAATCTAAGTGACTCGTACAACATAGAATTCATATAAAACGGAATTATCAACAGTGTTATTGGGGGTCGACTGTATACGGATATTTAACCGGAAAACAAAATATATAGCCTAGTCAAGTCGAAATTGTAACGATTAACCCGGTCTCACTTACGATAACAGGTTGTAAAAATGTCCACATTTTCATCGCTAATTAATAAACAGAATTTAATTTAATCTAAGTAGTTTAAGTAATAAATTTTTCAGAGCTTTTATAATAAATAAATTATTCGATCTGATGGTTATGAAACTAATGTTATTAAAATGTTAATTGTATTATATACGTATATCCCTACTGCGGCTCGGGAATTAAATGTCATCATCAATTGAATTTAAAACCTTTTTTCTAACGAGGGACCAACCTAAAAATCTAAAAATGTAATCAGAAATCGAACTAGAGTCCTTCTAATGACAGATTGATATCATTTACTACTGCGCGATCATCGTGTTCGCGATATTATGCAAATTACGAGAGAAAAAAAAAATCCTGGTGGGACGATGCATTTTTCTTACTAGGAAAGGTCCTAATTGTGAAATTTCATTGTGAAAAATAAACATTTCTCGAATTATATTATCCTTATATTCCCAGCTGCTATTGCTCAAGAGTCGCCATCTGGTGATATTTTGTAGAAACGAGCGTTGTTTTCAATTCTCTAATTAAAATATATATATGTGTATACTGTATGACAACGCTCGAGAGAATTCGAAACCCCTGTTAAAGTTTTCTAAATAGATTGTCAAATATCAACTTTTACTAAATTTAATGGTTATTATATGTCGATGATTTTAACAATTCTTTTAATGCGAAATCTGGAAATTTTTCAGGGAGTGGCCCGTCCCTCGTCACCTGGCCGCCCCATCGTGGATCTGCCCGAATCCATAATGAATATGATTAAAAAGACTCTCTTGGTGGCCAAAGGGCGAAAAGAGTAAAAAAAAAAATTAGTTTAGTTTACAGATTATCGGTTATGGCTGTCCTAAACCATATTAGAAAGTGTCCTGAAGATTTTAAAGTATTTTATGCAGAGGAAGTAGATAATATAGGCTTCTTAGAATGATAAGCTTTTTTCTTTTTAATAAAAAAATATTTCTTGTTCAAAAATATAATACGTGGAAGTTTAGTTTTTCTCCATTTCTTTGACATTGTTACACGTGTAAGAAAAAGTGAGAAATAACTATATTTTTAAACAACAATCTAAAGTTAATTTTCTTTGATAAAATGTCAACAAATTATATCTGATGTCCCTCTACCACTTCAACACTTCATTCGTTCTAATAGTTGGATAATTAAGTCTTGATGACCGAGCAGCTATCGTGTCAGTCTATTGCGCTGGGGGGGAAATCCGGAATCGAATCCAGCCGGGTCGAAAAATCCCGGGAATTTTTCGGGGATGGTGAATGATCTGTCCCGGATATGCCGGGTCCCGTTCTTCATCACCACCGTTCTGCCCCGTTGTAGGCCTGACCGAGTCCATAATTGGCGTGGAAAACATTCCTCTAACTTGTAAGTGCTCACAGAGGAAAAGAAAAGGAGTTTTTGAAAAATGCTTTCAAGAAACAGAGGAGAATGTAGTTTTATGGAAAAAGTACCTAACGAAGTAAAAGTTTAGGAGTAGCAGTTTTCAGATTTTTGTTTTTAACTACAGTGTAAATGAATTCGATAATTTTTTCTATTATTTATTTATTTATTTGAATTTCGCTCAAAAATTTTATAATTTACACCATTTTGTGTGCTTCATCTTTTCCAATAATGACACAGAAATGATGATAATTTCAAAAGTTCAAAAATCGTATTTTTGTACGTAACTTCGAAATTTATGAAATATTTGATCCATTATTGGACAGTAATTAATCATTCACTGATACTTATTTTTTGCCCATTATCTATAGAGAGCCGATTCGCCTCGTTTATTCCGCTATGGCCTTTATTATTAAATATGCTGGAAAAATGAATAATTTTTATTTTAATACGTTAAAACCTACAAAAGCCAGGACACGACGGGACTTTTGTTTTTCGTACCTTGCAGGTTTTCCGCCATTGACAGACTTTCCGGATTTTACTGTATTGCAATATCTATAATGAAATATCAATCAAAAATTAAAGTTCGTGTAAGCCCCATAAGAATAAATCTTTTTTTTTTAAAGCATATTTCTAAACATTTTAAATGTATTTCAATTGTACATTACAATAATAACTTTTAAATCCGAGCAAAACAAACTAAAATCGATTATATTAAAAATTTGTAGTTTATAATTTCGAAAAATGCGCTTTATTTACTTACTTTTGCAATACGGTATATGTAGAGTACATTTGTAATTTTATCGAGATTTCTTTTTTTAAAGAGGTATTGGGTTTCGCTTTAATTAGGCAATTTCCTGTAAGTGTGATATAATTAAATAAGTACAGAGATTATAGAGTGACGAAGGATTAATACCGAGATATCTTAATTGAAAGAGTGACGTTTCGTCGCAAAATTCTGAAAGACGTTCGTCGCCAATTTCTATTTTTGTTCCGAAAAAAGTGTGTCGGTATGGAAGGACGAAAGCGTGCACCACATTTAAAATTGTTACCTGTGCAGAACTCTCCACTGTATCAACGAAGAAAGGAATTTCACGAAAACACCGAGAACGCACAATGCAGGTAAACACTATAACAAAGTATCTTCTTTTTGTTGGAAAGGTTATATAAGTATATGTTAATTTGATGAACGTGTTATAATTGTAGCGTTAATGTTTCTGTCTAATGAAATTGCCTTTTATAGCTACGGCAGTACAGAGTATAAAAACCTCAGTAAATTTTCATTTTAGCTAGTAAAAGGTGGAATTTTTATAAATCTGTAAACAAAAAAATTGATAAAAGTGTGTTTTTTTACAAGCAGCAATGACGAATTGATTATTAATTCACTTATTTGTGCATGTCTAAGACTTGGTAGAAAAATATATTATTAAATGCAAAATAATATAAAATTATTTATGTAATTGATTAATTTTTGTTTTTGTGTTTCCTGTTACCTGTTCATTTCATGTGTTGTTTAAATAAAAATAACAATTACTTATTGTACTACTAAAGGATACCTCAATGAATTTCAGTGAATAAATCAATGAAGATATTAAATATATTTTATGTAAATTATAGTTTTAAGTCTCTTCTTGTATAATGTGATTGAATTAAAGTTAGGATTATGATTAACTTTTGTTACATTTTGCATATGTAAGTCTATTTATATAACTATCCTTATGAGTAGTAATTATTTAAAGACTGGTGATGATCTATGTTAGATTTACCAGTCTTGATTATATCACTAATAATAGTATTTGTTTGGTTTCCTGGTTTCGGAACATTATTCCGAATCGTCGGAATTGTTAAGCAAATCTTTATTGACTTGTGTATGCGTGACAAATCACCTGTTTATCAATAGAATGAAAATAATTTTAGAAGTATTTTTAAAAACTATAATTCTCGGCTTTAGAATGTTAATTCTTATATTTTTATAATATCATATATTTTTGTACATTTAGATATATCTTGGAAATAGTTTATTGTTTGTGGACTAATAGAATATTTTTTTTAAAAATAAAACAACATGTCTGCCTCTTAAGGTATACGATTTATTGATACAAAAATATTGGGGGATATGTTTGTCTCTTATGGATTGATGCCCATGAATATATCCTAAATATCTCTTAAAGTGAGGGCATTTATATTAATTAATTTAAAAGATAACAGCATATAGTCAAAACTTGATTTTAAAAATCTGTAAGATGTATTATTTTTTAAATGCCAATAGATTATGACAGTAACTTATTAAAAATAGGCTATTTAATAGTTTTAATAAATAAATTTTATAATATTGTAAATAAAATTGTTGATACTTCATATTGTTTTGTGAAATTTTGATTTAGATCAACTTTGGTACAATAAGATAAAAGATATTTAGTACATTTTAGTACATAAGATGTTTAGTGTACTTTTTTTAATCCATGAACAAGATATATGAAGTGAATGTGATCAATATTAACAGAAATTAAGAAATATATTCATATAATTAATATGAGATGTAATATATGTTTCTAATCTTGTATCATATACAGGATGTCTCATAAGTCTGAAACCCTAAGAGTTACATTTATTTTTTACAGATAAACCATAGTGCTGATTAAGGAGGAACAAATTCAAGTTATTTGGATGGTGGAGACTCATAGTCAGCAAGAAGTTGCTGAAGAGTTTAACAGGCTGCATCTAGACTGCTGTGTGTGAGAAGACTGGATACTGGATACTGCCTGTTAAACTCTTTGACAAGTTGTTGCTGATTACAAATCCATACCATCAAAATAACTTGAATTTATGTTTCTTCTTACTTGTTACAGGAGGAAAAAACATAACTCATATGGTTCCAGACTTGTATAATATCTTAGAGAAATTATAAGGAATGTAATCTAATGTATTAGTAGTAAATGATAGAATAGATTATATTTAGTTGTCATTTACTACTAGATAGAGAAATTGTAAGGAATGTAGTCTTTGGTAGTAGATGGATGAATTAAATTTCAATAATACTTTTTATAACACCAGTTGAAAATTTAATATCAGCAGACTGAAATTTTCAAAAATTCAGGTTGTAATTGAAACATTAGTCTGTGTTAAATTTTTAACTGATGTTAAAAAAAGGTTTTGTATTGTAAAAAGGTTTATGAAATTTCTTAGTTATGTGGATTGCTGGAATGGTTGAGTATTTTTTATGTTCTGTTGATTAATAGGTAAAAAAAGAAAATGTGCAAATAAGATGTGCTTTTTATGTTATCAGAAAATTAACAAGATTTGCATGTTGTTGAGATGAAAGATGGCCTTACATCCAGAATTTAAGTGTTTACTCATGAATTTCATTCATGTTGTCAAAAATTGACAGCAGGATCTCAATATATTGCAATTAAAATGGATAGGCTTACTTCGTATTCTGCCACTGTAATCTTTCATCATAATATGAGATATAATCTATCAGTAATTCCAATTTTTTAAAATGTTTAATGATTCATAAGAAAAAAATAAAATTCAGGCTATAGGTCTACATACATACACAGACTATAATCTGCTTATATTGTTTGAGATTATACTTGTATATCATAAAAATAGATTATAATCTAGATAATTGATCATCAAATATTAATAATTATACTTATGGTGATTGCCTGTATTAGACTTAATTATTAGACTAAATATATTAATAAGCTGTCAGTTTGGATTATAGGAAGACATGCTGTCAGCTATTAAAACTTTTATTGTGTAATAAATTTGAAATAATTTAATTAAATAATTGCTATGATTAGTCAAAAATTACCAGAAATAACTTGGAATCTAGTTGACATAACTGTCATTGTGTTAATAATAAATTTTATGAGAATTTCAAATTCAAATCTACAGATATCTTTATTTCATTATTCAATAACAATTATAAAAAATGCATTCAATCATATTTTTTTGAATCAACGTATTCTTGTTGAATATTATAATAAGCTATAATAAGTGATGATAGCATTCAAGATAGTTTACTAAATTTGGTAACAGCCAAATGATGATATCATGTCTAAATCAGCATCAAAAATCAGCTTTTTTCTTAGAATCGTAATATATATGAGAAAAAATAGCTTTTTTTCTTTATGCATTTAAGATGATTACATTCAAATATTTAATTTAAGTTTAATTATTATTAAAAAGTAACAGTTTTAATAAAATAAATAAACTTTTTTTCCAATGTTGTAATTAGGCTAGGCATATTGATTTTTTTTTTTTCAAGAATATAAGAAATTTTCAGCATTAACTAATGTATATAGTTTAAGAGTTTTAAAAGATATATTTTTAATTTTTAGAGAATCGGAAAAAGCACAAAATATTATCATGTCTCTTGGAGCTATGTTCTGTTCGCGTTGTGGGGATGGTTTCGAACCTCATGAGAAAATTGTAAATTCTCACGGAGAAGTATGGCATCAGCAGTGTTTTGTGTAAGAAAATCTTATAATTTATATCTTATATAAGAATTTTATTTGCATTTTTTTTTTATTGAATTTTATTGTAATTAAATTTATTTTTACATTTTTGCTATTAGTTGTTGTCAATGCTTCAGACCATTTCCTGAAGGAATATTTTATGAGGTAAATATATATATTCTAATTAGCATTTCTAATTTCATATTTACTTAAGTACACTTCCTTATTTTCTCTCTGGATTATTGCTTTTAAAAATCAGAAGAAACAATAATGTATACTTGTTGTTACAATAATGTAACAACAAGTATGCTACATAGTCTAAATGCATTTATTTTAAGAAGATACAGTAGAGCGTTGATTATCCGAATCAATTGGGGACTGGGGTTGTTCGGAAAATCAATTTTTTGGATAACCGATTATGTTTGAAAAACTACATTAATAGAGTATATTAGTATATCCCATTAATAGTATATTAGTATATCCCATGTTTAAATTTTTCTCTGTTGCATGTCGCATCATGTTGAATTTTCATCGATGTTAGCCTAATGAAAATTTTTTATAATAATAATTATGGCTATTGTATCGTTAAAAATTATTTCTTTATTTTATACAAGCAAAATAAATATATTGAAAAATATAAAAACCAATAAAGTTATACTTTAGAAGTTAATCTAGTATCAAAAACGTTCAATTCAGCATGACACAGTCCGACTGGAACGCTTTCGGTTGATCGACGTTTGGATAATCGATGCTCTACTGTAATTTCATGGTTTAATAAGCTTTTCCTGCTGGATTTTAAAGTTATTGAATATATATTTTTATTTAAGATAAATGGAATAAGATTTTGTTTATTTAAAATATATTATTCTGAAAATGGAATTAAAATAACTCTAAAAAAGTAAGTCTTACAGCGACTTCTTGAAAATAAAGATAAATTTTCTAGATTTTTAAATTTTGTGTCAAAAAATATTTCTATATTTTTTTCAATACTTAAAGCAAATAATTTCATAAAAATGATGCAATTATATTAAAGAAAAATTGTATTTCTACAATCCAAAAAACAATTGTAATTAAAAGTTTTAATATCAGTAAATGTAATTCTACAATATTGTCAAAGATAACGAGATAAATCAATTTTAAGACAGTAGAATTTTGATATTTTTAACATTACTTTCCTGATTCATCTATAAGTATTTAGTTATTATTAAATTATCTCCAAAATAGTTTGAAGGGAGAAAATATTGCGAGAGTGACTTTCATGTCTTGTTTGCACCGTGCTGTGGAAAATGCGGAGAGTTTGTAATTGGACGTGTCATAAAGGCCATGAATAATAATTGGCATCCCAACTGTTTTCGTTGCAAATTGTGCCAAATTCCACTTGCAGATCAAGGATTTATTAAAAACAATGGCAGGTAAGCATTGTAACTATTTGAAATAAATATTGTATAAAAACAGTTGAATAACAAATAAAATATTTTTAATATTTAAAAACATGGACTGAAAATGTAAGTAGCATTTATTAAACATTTTTTACATAATTCAAAAAAAAAAAAAGATATATAAATTTTAGATATATAAAGAATTTACGATGATTAAGTGTATGATAGTTTGTTTCTAGTTTGAAGAACAAAGGTAACTATAATGAAAAATAAGTATAATTATAATGTCATTATAACTAGAAAAAATAAACAAAAATAAATAGGTCAAATGATGCACTGTTGTTTTATGTTGATTGATTAACATGTTGAGAAACAACAAAAAAAAAAATGTAAATGTGTTTAAATGAATGTGTGCAAATTAAATAAATAATAAATTAATTTATTTAACAGTTGTTGCAAAATTATATTACAGTAGAGCATCGATTATCCGACTCAATTGGGGACTCGGGTTGGTCAGATAACTGAAAAAGTTATCTGACCAACAGTAGAATTTTGATTTTTGATTTTGATTTTGAATTTTGAACCGAAAAGAATGAAAAAATACATTATTAGTATAGTATATGAGTATATCCCATGTAATTAGTATATTAGTATATCGCTCTTAACCTACTTCGCATTGAATTTTCATTGATGTTAAGCATAACAAAATTTTTTAAAATAATAATCGTCACTATTGTATCGTTAAAAATTATTTTAAAATTATTTTATTGCTCACAAAACAAACAACCACTCATAATTAGAAAATTAAGTCTCGTTTAAGTACTGGCCTCCCTTTCATGGTCGAGCCAGTGTTGCCAGCTAAAACACCAAAAATTTAACAAAAATAATATTAAAGTAGCCAAGACATACCCAAATATTGTAGTGCCACATCACTAGCGGACATTTGAAATTTGCCGACTAGAACGGTCGGTTAACCGATGTGACGGTTAATCAGGGGTTGGATAATCGATGCTCTACTGTATTTGAAAGTACAATATTATTTAACAAGTTATCTTGAAATTTGCTATTCTTAAAACTTTATTTTTACAATCTGTAATTTAGTTTCATTAAATTATCAAAATATCTTATTCAACAAAAATAGTGTGTAGTCTTTGTTTTCTTTTATAAATTATTTATTCTTTAATTTTATTTTCAACAGTATTTTTTAATAGTTTTACAAGGCATGTTCAAAAAGTTACAGGAATTGGTCAAAAAATCAAATCAATACAGAATTCTATAATTCTCTATTGATCTAATAATTGATAGTATAAAAATAAATAATATAATTGACGTATGCATATTAGTTTTAAACAATGTCATGATATTAACTGTAAAGAACAAGTCTATAATTATTTATCTAACCACCTAAAAAGGGGTTTTCGGACTAATAAACAAATTGTTGTCCTTCTAATCTGACTGTTGTTTACTGGAGTTCAAGAATTACTCAGAGTTTCTTGAATTCCAGTAAACAGTCAGATTAGAAGGACAACAATTTGTTTATTAGTCCAATAACCTCCTTTTAGGTGGTTAGATAAATAACTGTTTAAGCTGGCTAATATTGCTAAATTTATCTGATTAAGGAATCAAGTCTATGACTCTTTAATTGTATTAATTAATGACTTATTTATGTTGCTGTGTATATCATAGGTTGTAAGCCCTGAATTACAATGATTATTTGGAAAGATTTTATTAAAAGTGTTCTAATTTCTTTATTAAATTAGATTTCTGCTTTTACAATTAATAAATTATCACAAAGTAAATAACATATTTATTATGATAAATTATATTTGGCAATATCTTTCTTTTTATAATTATAGTTGATCTTTAGCAATTTAATTTATTGTTAAGTCTGTTATGTGTTAATAAAAATTAGCTAAAGTGAGGTTTATTAATTTCGTATTTGATTCATTTTCTCTTTTCAGAGCTTTGTGCCATGAATGTAATGCAAAAGAAAAAGCTGCTGATAGTGGAAAATACATTTGCTTTAAGTGCCAGTAAGCATTGTATTGTATTTATCTTTCTTATATTAAAGCAAGATCTTAGTTGCATAAACTCTAAATAATATCTTCTTTGCTAAATATTGGCATCCTTTGATGATAAATTTTAGTACTAAAAATCATAAAAATTAGTTTTAACAGTTAAATAATAACAAATAAATTATTGTAATTTGATTTTGTGTAATTTTTATAGTGCTGTTATAGATGAGGGCCCATTAAAATATAAAAGTGAAACATATCATCCATATCACTTTAATTGTACTGCTTGTGGGTAAGTAAATTTTTAATTTTAATTTGTAACTATAAAATGTTATTAAAATCAATTTTATTAATATATTACAATATTTTATTTTGATGATGATTTTCAATTGTTCAGAATTGAACTGACATCTGATGCCAGAGAAGTCAAAGGTGAATTATATTGCCTCAGATGTCATGATAAAATGGGAATTCCTATATGTGGTGCCTGTCGTCGTCCTATTGAAGAACGTGTAGTCACAGCACTAGGAAAACATTGGCATGTGGAAGTAAGAATCATTTGTATATAGATATAAGATATATTTTATGATTAAACTATTTTAAAAGTATGGCAATAATACATTTTTAAATTCTGTTATAATAATATTATAAGTTTTCATAATTATTTAATATATACAGTATTTTTATAATGCAATAGCTCAATATTAATGCCCAAATTTATAATTGTAATTTGTAAATTTTGGATTTGGGAGTTTAGTTTTTTGATGCTATACTGCATAAATTAAAAACAAAACCATATAAGCAAGTTAAAACTTAAATTTTCAAACCTTTTCAATATATACAAAACAAATCATATTGTCAAATCTTAATCAAGTTATAATATGGCTAATTATAAACATATTAATTGGTCTGGAAGCAAAGATCAGACAGGTCTGAGTAGCTTATAGCAAAATATCTGCACTGTAAACAGGAGTTGCAGGTTCAAGTCCTGATTCTGATCCATCTTTTTTTCCAGAAATATTCTACATTTCTATTCATTTCATTTATTTCTAATTATTAAATTAAATACACAATGACATCTTTTTTTCCAGAAATATTCTACATTTCTATTCATTTCATTTATTTCTAATTCATTTCTAATTTCTAATTCATTTATTTCTAATTATTAAATTAAATACACGATGACAGCTTAATCACCTACCGTTCCAGTCAAATTCCATATCTTTATAATTGATTACTCATATTATAATCTTATTAAAATTTGGCAGTATCATTTGAAGTGCTTATTTTCAAAATATCTCTTGTCAGTTTTCAATTTTTTTGGTAAATCTAGACTAATTAAATGGTGTTTTTTAACTTAGTCATTGTAACTTTTATATTACCTTTCCTCATTAAAAAGTTATAACATTGGTGAAAGGAATTTTCAAGATCAACAAAACCAGTCGCATTTGATTCTCCATACATGACTTCCTACATAACTACATATATTAATTTTATTGTTGTATAATAAATAATCTTCAGTACTTTTGGAATGAAAAGGGTGGAAGGGACTTTTGATTCACTTTGTATATATAAAATATATCTTTTGTCAGGAAATTTACAAATAGACCTGGAGCATGTTTAATGAACACACACTCCAGTTCTATTTGCAAATTTTCCTGACAAAAGAATTTTGTATATATGTTACCGCTAAAGCTCGAAACTCGTTAATCTGCAGATTAGCTAGGTAATTTGCAGATTAACTAGTGTGATCCGTTAAAGTTGTGAAAATTGTTCCATTTCTCAAATTACCTAGATAATGTGAAGAGTATCTAGGTAATCCGCACATTACCTACTAGGCACTCGGTAAAGTGAAAATAAGATCTCTTTGCCACAAATAAATGTACCACAAATAGGTGTGCTTGTCGCAGAAACCAATTGCTATGAAATTCAAAGTGTCACCAATCTTTAGACTGCACAATTGGATAATGTTACCTATGGTGGGTAAAATGGCTGCTTGTCTCTGATTCCAGCAAAGAGAAGAAAGGAAACAGTGGGGACACACGTTCTCTCCTAACCTAACCTATTCTAATAATTTGGTTGGTAATAATTATGGTAATTTATTAAAATAGGTTAGGTTAGGAGAGAACGTGTGTCCCCACTGTTTCCTTTCTTCTGTTTGCTGGAATCAGAGACGCGACGCCATTTTACTCACCATAGGTAACATTAACTGCACAATTACATCATGCGATCACCAGAAAAAGTATGATAACTTTATTATTTTTCGTCTTTGGTCCAAAAGTAAGGTATCGTTGAAGTTGTCTCGGTCCCCTCAGTTCAGATAGATACTCAAAGTCCCGAAATTCCATAGGTGGTTATCTATATAATAATTTCCCTAATTGTATTAATATTTTAAATCGTTTGATTTCTTGTATGTTTTTTAATTGGTTGATGATTGATTCTATCAACTAATTTGTTGATTGTTTGATTGTATTAACTTGATTCTTTAGATATCGAAAATTAAATAAAGAACATTATGTTAATTTAAGCGTACAGAAACGTTGCTGTTGTTCCAGCAAAGATCTTATTTTCACTTTACCGAGTGCCTAGTAGGTAATTTGCAGATTACCTAGATAATCTGCACATTACCTAGGTAATTTGAGAAATAGAACAATTTTAGCAACTTTAACGGATCATGCTAGTTAATCTGCAGATTAACGAGTTTCCGAGCTTTAGCGGTAACATATATACAATGTTTTGAAAATTAAGTTTTAACTTCTTATATATTTTATTCTGTAATTTATACATTCTTACACCAAAAAAGTGAAATCTTCACATTTTATATACCCATATATGGTTTAACCTTCTTCAAATATTTGTCATGTTTGAACATTAAACTGAAAAACTTACTTTTAATATTTAACCCAGTAGATGAAGTTATATTGCATGTTGTTTATTTGTTAAATTATACATATAAAGACAATCTGATACAGTGATTCCCAAACTTTTTCAAGCCACCGTCCCTTGTTTCCATAAACTTACACTCAATGTCCCCAACCTGTTTTATCTTGAGTGAAGAAGGGTTGGAAATATTCTTAAAGAACTTTTCTTTGAACTTCACACTTTGTGTCTTTACCATACATTGTTCACATTATCTGGAAACCATTAAATGTAATGTTTCTTCTTACCCATTTTAATGGAGAAAAGGGAGAGGTTACCAGTGCCTCCTTGCTATCCCCTTACTACTTTTTGCCCCCCTAGATTTACTCACCACCTGCAAGGGGGCAGTAACACCCACTTTGAGAACCACTGATCTGATATATTAAATTTTAATTTTTTAGTTTAATAAATTCATCACTACATATATTACAGTGACAAAAACTCACTCTAAATAACAATCTCCATTTAAAAATCAGAAGAAATGAATAATTAGACTAGATTTGAAATTTGTAGTCTGGTAAATGAGTATAATTCCTTAACCAATTTAATTGCCAGTCAGTAAATACTTAAATTCTGACCTTAATGATATGAATAATTGAGATATTATCAATTATTTAGATGAATTTCTAAGACTATTTAATAAAATATTTTTAAGAATTGAATGAAATTTGTAATTCTTAGAAATTAAGTTTATATAAGTTAAACATAGTCATCTGTAGAGAGATTAAAAGTTTTATAAACTATTCTTTTAGCATTTTGTTTGTGCCAAATGTGAGAAACCATTTTTGGGACATAGACATTATGAAAAGAAAGGTTTAGCATATTGTGAAGTTCATTATCACCAATTATTTGGAAACCTCTGCTTTGTTTGCAACAATGTGATTGCTGGCGACGGTAAGTTTATAATTGATTAAATTAATTATTTCAGAATAATGTTAAATCACTTATAATGTTTGTTTTAGAATATTATTAAAAATATGATGATGCTAATTAAAATTTTTTAAATCGATATTTTACAGTATTTACCGCTCTGAACAAAGCTTGGTGTGTCAATCATTTTGCTTGTGCCTTATGCGATCAGAAAATGAGTCAAAAGTAAGTCATTTATAATTATTAAATTGTATTAGGTCTTTTACATTATTCGCATTGTTAAATTAAAATTACATTCATTAAAATTTCTCCAGAACAAAATTCTTTGACTTTGATCTGAAGCCGGTTTGCAAAAAATGCTACGACAAGTTTCCGGGAGAATTAAAGAAACGTCTGAAGAAAGCATACGAGAGTTCTCCAAAGAAAACAATAACATAAACATATTGGTGAAATCTATACAAAATTTTATATGCAATTATCTAGATTAACTTTAAAGACAATTAATAATTACCTGGAGTATTTCACATATACAGATACTTCTATTTTAATATACTAATTACTATTTTTATTAAAATATTGTTTATTATTGAAATATAGTATATTATTAATTAAAAAGCAGAATAATTTTTTAAAAATGTTTTTAATAAATATTACAAGAGAGAATCTTGCAATAAGACTGTTGAACTTAATGTGTATAAAATTATATTGATAAATGAAGCTTTTAATCAAATATTATAAACATAAACAAATTTGTTACAATTGTAGTTATGTTAATTAATATTTATTTGTTTAAATATGTTTATTGTTTTGATTTTTGATTGTTCTAATAATTCATTTTATTAGTTCTTGTATCGAGTTCACTGCCACAATTTTATGTAAAAAGTTTTTGGATCAAATGGAGAATGTTATGTTCACATTTTATTTTCAATCTGAAATATAGTCATTTTTTTCCACAATATGTGCTAAAAATGCTTGGCTGAAATACTTTGTTTCATAATTTTTTGGTAAAGGTTATAAAAAAAACAACTGTTACAGACTGGAGTAGACTTATTCTTTATCCAATCACACAAAGGATTTGTCTTCTGGATATATTCGTCACTTGATCCAAAAATTATATTTAGCAGTAATTTTACTGCATTTTTATGTAAGCAGTCTAAATACAAGCCATTATATTTTTAATTCCAATGAAATCACTTATTCTGGATTTAATTAGATTCAATATTTTATAAAATACAATCTCTCTACACACCGGTAAATATAAATAAAATATTCCTGAAACCCTTTAACCAGAGTGCTTCTATTTTTAGAATCGCGAACATTTTCGTCGCCCCTCCTGGGCTCTTCTTCAGGCTTTATCGAATAGGCCATTACTGTTCAACAGTCTATTCGAATAGGCCATTACTGTTCAACAGTCTATTCGATAAAACCTGAAGAAGAGCCCAGAAGGGGCAACGAAAACGTTCGCGATTCTAAAAATAGAAGAACTCTGGTTAAAAGGTTTGAGGAGTATTTTATTTTCTAAAATGAATAAAGAAAAGTTAATAAGAATATAAACCCTCCTATAGCAAATAAATTTTTATTGTTTCTTTTGCTAAAAGTTAAGAGAGATTTATAAATGTATGAATAAATTTGGCAAGTTATATAGTTCCTAATTCTTTACGTATCATTTATAAAAGGCAACATTAATAATTGAAATTTCATAACTTTGATACAATTAACATAAAATAAATTGATATAGCAGAAGTTATAAAATACATTAATTAAACTACTTTAAACATTTTCTTTCCAGTTTATTAACAACAAAATAAACATAAGAAGGAAAGTAATTTCCTCAAAAAATAAACAATGTCAAACTTTCAATATATATAATTCTAATTTTAAAATTTAGTATTTAAAAATGCTGTCAGAAAGTATTGATATATCATTTAGCTATAATCTGTAAATCAAAAACTTTATCCAAAGAGTAACACAAAATCTACGAAAAGAATTATTTAATTTGTTTTTGAAGTAATTTTTATGTTCCTGACAATGAAATTTGCATTCAAAAGCATTTGAATTTTAAATAAATTAAACTCTTAATGAAATAAAGATATTTCATAGATATACAAAATTAGCTCTCTCTCTCTCTAAAATAAACTTTTTGGTCAATTGTTTTTGTTTTTGCTCTAATTGCAGAAAATTTTGCATTTAAACATAGCAAAACAACCCAGAGAAAAAAGGGAAACTGTCACATTTAGCAATAAAAGATACAAGTGATGGTGCTGATTCAGTTTTCCAGCACTAGGATAATTGTTATAACAATCACAATTTCCAGTCTAAAAAGGCCTTCTATTCCTTATTAACTTTCCTTGAATGATTGAATTATAATAATTTTTAGTAGTAACTAAAAATAAAAACTGGATGTGATTGATGATATAGATCAATTTAGGTTAGGATAACATCCACATCCCTCATCTATGCTTCCATTTCATAGATTGGATCTTGTTAAACTTTGGGCCAACTACATAGTCTTACAGGTGCCTGGTAATTTGTGTCCAGCTTAAATCAGTGTCTTTTCAATTTCCAATGAAACAAAATTACTTTGAAATGTTTCATTTTATGACTTAAAGATGTCCAGACATAATTCAAACTTTAATTCCTCAGTAATGGCAAAATTTTTATTTGTAAGATTCAAATATATGATATAAGTGTAACAAAATATTCTTAAAGTTAATTTTCTACAAAATTCCGGTAAAACAAATATGAAAATTTGATATCAAAATAAATACTAAATATATAGAAATATAATAATTTACATTTTAAAATCTTTCAAACATATTTTATTGTATAATATAGTTTTTTCATGCATTTTCTCAGCTAATACATTTTTTTTTTATACTTAAATGATTTTTAGTGTAATTCTTAATATAAAAATGTTTATTTTTGTAGACTTATTCATACAATTTGAATATATTAACACTTGCTATGGAATTGTGATTAGCATATCAACAGAAAATTATTTTTAACAAAAATTTATGATTTCCTGAATTTAATTAAATTTATGAACATTTTTCAAAAGAAAATTACTATTTTATTTTTGAAACGAATTGAATGAAAAAGAAGTTACAACTAAATGAATAGGTATTTAATTTTAATAAACTTTTTAATGGCTCCATTTTTATTACGCTACTGTTTTGTATTTACTAAATTTTTGTGACTTAATTTTACAATTAAAAATTGGATCATAAACTCTAAAACTTCTTTGACTTGGTCACTAAATCGATCTTAAAACTGTATGATTATGGTGTATTTTAATTTACTTTATATATATATAGTCATTGTTTGAGAAAATAAAATGTGAAGTTGTAAATAAATAAAATTCAGATAATGAAAATTGATTTATTAAATGATAAATTTGAATGTTTATGAATTGTACGAATCGGTTTGACTATGCAATTTTCTATTGATTTATATTTGGAAACAATTATTATGTTTAATTGTAAGTTCGGAGAAAGGAATTACCGTATTGTTGTTAGTGCTTCAAATGTATATTTGTTTGTTTAATGCCGAATATAAAAATTAATAACCGACTCTTTATGATGATTTTTATTGTGGAGTTTATTTACAATTTAAATAGTATTAAATCAAAAATGTCACATAAAAATATTTGTCTGTATAGACTTTTATCATTTTCAATAAAATGCTACTGTAATATTTATACAAATTTTTGTATATGTTGTAATTTAATATTTACAATAAAAAAGACAGATATTAAAACATTTTCAACAATATATTACGAATGTTCAGAGATATCTGTCGGAGTGTATGCTGCAGCCTGAGTTTCGGGTGTCGAAGGTCTACTAGAAGATGGAGAAAACACACTTTTAACGCCCATGTTTTGAATGGCGGATAATGGTTGGTTACTAGTGGTAGTTTGTGACATAACTATTGATCCTGTCGTACTCTGAGGCATGGTCACCACGACCACTTTGGCCACAGGCGTCGAAGTCGTGCAAGTATTTGCGACTTTTGACGGCAGACTCTGGCTCGAAGCGTTGACGATCTTCACCAGAGTGGGCGTTGAATTGCTATTATTCACAACGTTCTGTGTCGTGGATCTAGAATTGGATGCGACAATGACGTACTTTTGGGTGGTGGGAGATGGCGTGACAGTCCGAGGCATGCTAACTATCGTCGGAGTGCGAGGATTTGTCTGTAGTACCCTTGGCTGTCGACAAAAATTTATATTGGTTTAATGCTTAAAATCAGTATTATAAATTTGACTTAAAATTGAAATTACCTGTGTGACAGTAACTGTTGTCCTGGTGCTACTAGCAGTAGTGGTAGGCTGGCGTGCTTTTACAACATGGGTATGTAATAGAGGACCTAAATATCCAAATTCATTTTTATAGTCATCCATGTTATCAGGGGGTGTCCAAGAAGCTTTAATTACAGGTGTAAGAACTCTCTAAAATTAATTTAAAGAGAATAAATATATAATATAAAAAATTTGATACTAAATATTTACATAATAAATCATAACAAAAATACTTAAAGTAAAATAAGTATATCAAGTAAAGTAAAAAAAGTAAATAAAATTATGTAATGTACTACATACACACAATTTTATCAAACATTGTATTTCTAAAATTGATACACTTCTTATTTATTTACTTACTTTTTCATTTAAAATTGATTTTTTTCCCCTTCATTAAATCTTAACTGTGATTTCTTTAATAGTCCTTTATGAAAGCATTCTTTGTTTCTTAAATAATTATGTATTTAATTCTGTCTCTTTTTTACTCCAAGTATATATATATACATACTTGCTTCTTTATACTTTTGAGATATAATAAAAGCATCTTTTATATAAATAATGTTATATGATATTAAGATTATTCATAGAATTCATATTTCATTTTTTATTTCAGGATTATATATGATTTATAATTTAAATATATTCTAGATCATGGGTTCCCAACCTATGGGTCGCAACGGGTTTTCTGTGGGGTCGCCAACTTATGCAGTAAACTAAAACAAAATTTTCACTATAATGCAATATTTATTTTTAATGGTGTCTTAAGTTTGAATAATTTCATATATTTTAAAAAAAATTAAAATATGTGTAATCTGGGGTACACTATTCTGTCACAGTTGGTTGAATCACGTGTTGAGAGTTTTGAGAGGAATAAATTAAATGTTGAGAATGACATGAGGTTGGCGTTAACAAAATCTCACCCGCGAATTTTGAGGCTGGTTAATAATACATGCAATTTCAACCATCTCATTAAATTAATTATTAAACATAATTTAAAATAAAATTATACTAAAAAACTAATTTCATTGTTTTTTAATTACCTTATTAAAAATACCTTTTTCAATTGTATCGGGGTCGCGGGTCACTTGGCTTTTATAAAAAGGGGGTCGCCACCCGAAAAAGGTTGGGAACCGTTGTTCTAGATGATAAATCATTCATTAACAAAAGTAAAATCATCATAAAATGATGGAGAAAATCATAATATTTTAACAGTGTTTCATTTCATTTTTCTTCATTTTCTTATCTCAATATACATCAATAATTACCTCAGCCACAGTACATAATGATTTACTCAGTACATAAATAGTTCACTCAGCAAATATATTCAGAAAAATGGAATATTTATTTAGATATTCAAATCTCTGAATATTCCATTTGTAACAATTTATTATCAAATTTAAAAATCTAAAGCTGGTGTTTGATAATAGGTTTAAAACGTTTTTTAATAAACAGTTTTTCTCAGCAAACATTAGGTGGTGAAGTAAGATTATTGTAATAAATTTATAGTTATTTTACTATTATTTGCTAAAAATCTCTCATCAATATCAATGGCAAGCAAAGAATTTGAATTCAATAGCGTAACAAATATAGTTATACATTATGTGTATCGTCCAAGTGGCATGTTTAATATACTTACAAATATATCGATCATCCATTATGGTCCACATAGACATAATTTGAATTATTAAATCATTTCATAAGCTATTTAAGATCTTATTAAATTAAAACAGATGTAACCACAAACAGAAACCTTATAAAAACACACACTATGTTCAACCAAGTCAATATGTACTTGGTTGCTATTAAATTAAATGTTGTTATTAAATTAAAACAGATGTAACCACAAACAGAAACCTTATAAAAACACACAGTATGTTCAACCAAGTCAATATGTACTGCTGGAAAAGCACACTATGTACTTTTCCAGCAGTGGAGTAATGATTTACAAATGTTTTTGACTACATTCACTAGTCTGCTTCAGATCCAACTGGAACTTATTTTTCAAAAAAATAGAATGCCTCAATGTTCTAAAACATATTGTAATGTTTTTAATTATGTAATTGTGTTATTATGTTCAATGATGAATGTTCAAAATTAAAATTAATGAACATTACTGGTTGAGACAAATTTCTTAGTAACATTTATAAATTATGTAGCTATTAGACTTTGGTTTTATTCTCCCCATTTATCACTGTAAAATATTTGCCATGTAGTTGAAATGTTCATAAATCATCTACTTCACTACTGAAAAAACATATAGGTTGACTTGGTTGAATATAAACATAAGTTCCAACTTTTGAAAAGTGTAATTTAAAACACTCATACATCTTACATGTAATAATATTTCAATTTCATTCATATTTCAATTTCAATTCTTTTTAAATACTTAATTTATAATAATAATGTATTTGCATTGAAATTCCAATGATTTCATATACAATGACTATATATTTTTATGAATTTTTTTTGAAATTTTACAGTTTGGAAAATAAAATACATTTAATAAATTCAAATATAAAAATGTTTTTCTACATTTTATATTTATTTTTTCAATAATAACAATAATAATAATAATCTTGCTTTTACAATATTTAAATAACTTATTATTTAATATCATTCAAAATTTAATCTTATTTGTAGAATTAGTACAATAAACTAATTATAATATATCAATTTTAAATATATAAAGTAATAAGTATAAAAAAATTACTTCACTTACTAAGAGTAACTGTTTGATATGTTCTGCTGCACTTTTGTCTATACTTCCAATTACAGATCCTTCTAAGCATTGTTTTATGCGTTCACCTATAGACTTGACTCTTGTTAACACGAAAGCTCTTATAACTTCTGGTCCTAACTCAGATAAGCCAGATATAGCACCGTAATGAGAAGCTAATGGGATCTTTTCATTTTGAAGAGCTCTACTTAACATTTTTGTTATACGAGTCTGTATGCCATTTGTACTTGTATTAAAGTTTCTAAACAATGTAAAATATTTATATTATAATTAATATCTTGTATTTATAAATTTAAAATATCAACAATCCATTGTTTTCTATCTTAAACATACTTGCATATTTGCGCTATTAATCTAGACGCAAAATCTCGTAAAGCCCAATGATTATCAACATCAGGTCGAGTACAAAGCTGTTTACTAACAATACAGGATATCACAGATGGTATCAATTCATGTAACTATAGAAAAATTGATATTTAAAAAATATTAACAACAACAGTTTTAATATATTTACTGAAATTTTTATTAAATTTAGTAAAAGAAATTGCTTTAATAGAGAATATAAAAAAAATGATATTAAATTTTAACAAACATAGAATTGTATTTAGTTTGAAATAAATATTAAATTTGTTAATTGAATACATAAATATATAATACAAGCATGTATAAAATAAATATTAGTAATCATTTATATGTGAAAATTTTGTTTAATCCTTGAGCAAATGATATCAAATACCTAAATGAATTTATCACCATTAGNGTTCTTATTAAATTAAAACAGATGTAACCACAAACAGAAACCTTATAAAAACACACACTATGTTCAACCAAGTCAATATGTACTGCTGGAAAAGCACACTATGTACTTTTCCAGCAGTGGAGTAATGATTTACAAATGTTTTTGACTACATTCACTAGTCTGCTTCAGATCCAACTGGAACTTATTTTTCAAAAAAATAGAATGCCTCAATGTTCTAAAACATATTGTAATGTTTTTAATTATGTAATTGTGTTATTATGTTCAATGATGAATGTTCAAAATTAAAATTAATGAACATTACTGGTTGAGACAAATTTCTTAGTAACATTTATAAATTATGTAGCTATTAGACTTTGGTTTTATTCTCCCCATTTATCACTGTAAAATATTTGCCATGTAGTTGAAATGTTCATAAATCATCTACTTCACTACTGAAAAAACATATAGGTTGACTTGGTTGAATATAAACATAAGTTCCAACTTTTGAAAAGTGTAATTTAAAACACTCATACATCTTACATGTAATAATATTTCAATTTCATTCATATTTCAATTTCAATTCTTTTTAAATACTTAATTTATAATAATAATGTATTTGCATTGAAATTCCAATGATTTCATATACAATGACTATATATTTTTATGAATTTTTTTTGAAATTTTACAGTTTGGAAAATAAAATACATTTAATAAATTCAAATATAAAAATGTTTTTCTACATTTTATATTTATTTTTTCAATAATAACAATAATAATAATAATCTTGCTTTTACAATATTTAAATAACTTATTATTTAATATCATTCAAAATTTAATCTTATTTGTAGAATTAGTACAATAAACTAATTATAATATATCAATTTTAAATATATAAAGTAATAAGTATAAAAAAATTACTTCACTTACTAAGAGTAACTGTTTGATATGTTCTGCTGCACTTTTGTCTATACTTCCAATTACAGATCCTTCTAAGCATTGTTTTATGCGTTCACCTATAGACTTGACTCTTGTTAACACGAAAGCTCTTATAACTTCTGGTCCTAACTCAGATAAGCCAGATATAGCACCGTAATGAGAAGCTAATGGGATCTTTTCATTTTGAAGAGCTCTACTTAACATTTTTGTTATACGAGTCTGTATGCCATTTGTACTTGTATTAAAGTTTCTAAACAATGTAAAATATTTATATTATAATTAATATCTTGTATTTATAAATTTAAAATATCAACAATCCATTGTTTTCTATCTTAAACATACTTGCATATTTGCGCTATTAATCTAGACGCAAAATCTCGTAAAGCCCAATGATTATCAACATCAGGTCGAGTACAAAGCTGTTTACTAACAATACAGGATATCACAGATGGTATCAATTCATGTAACTATAGAAAAATTGATATTTAAAAAATATTAACAACAACAGTTTTAATATATTTACTGAAATTTTTATTAAATTTAGTAAAAGAAATTGCTTTAATAGAGAATATAAAAAAAATGATATTAAATTTTAACAAACATAGAATTGTATTTAGTTTGAAATAAATATTAAATTTGTTAATTGAATACATAAATATATAATACAAGCATGTATAAAATAAATATTAGTAATCATTTATATGTGAAAATTTTGTTTAATCCTTGAGCAAATGATATCAAATACCTAAATGAATTTATCACCATTAGTTAAAAAATTTGAGTGACTAAAGTGTCAGTGAAAATGACAAACAACTAAGAGCAGAAAATTGCATAACCTTAAAGATGAAATATTAATTCTTTTTGTTTTTAAACATTACAAGTAATATGCTTTGAGATTAAGATACATGAAGTCATGAGATAATTCACTGTACTATACATACTTGATTAGACCCACAGGTTTAAATTACCCTACAGGCTCAAATAAACATATATCCAACTGCATTTAACAAAATAAATTCACACCACTTGAATAAACCTAAAGATGGATTTATTCAAATTACATACTGTAAACAACCTATTCAAAATTGTAATTCTGTAAATTATTGCATCACATTTCTTGTCACCTGTGTTACTTTTTAAAATTTTTTTTATGAAACAAAAATGAAATAAAAACAATTTCATTTAACTATTGAGTAAACCTATACTCCAAATGGATTATAAAAAGTAGACCAATTTTAGGTCTATTTGAGCGTATACAGTAATTAACTAAATATTGAAATAGGACCCAACAATCCAATAGACAATCATTTAATCATTCGAACTTATCAAGTAAATTCTGAAATCAATCGTAAGAGAGTACAGTAATACCCTGAACTTACGCGTTAGGTGGGACTGAGCAATAACCGCATAAGTTGAATTCGCGTAAGTTGGGGTATAATTTCTCAATGTGTGTAAAATCCAAGTCGGATGTATGTAAGCTAATAAATGTTCTTGTTAATCTTATCTCGTCTTTTGATTCCTTCATTGTTACAAGAAATCACCACATAGAGTCTCTCGAGTCTCCATAGATATAACAAACACAGAAATAAATAACACAAAATAAATTGTAGCTATGTGTCGATTCCACGTGACACGTCCAAACATGTAAGTTGAACAATAGTGTGGAGGGAATGAGTAATCAAGAGTTGCGTGGTGCTCAAACAAAAGACGAATCGACGAGATATGAAAATCGCGTAACTCCGGATTCGCGTAAGTCGGCGTAGTGTAAGTCGAGGTATCACTGTATATAAACATGGTTTAAAAGAAGACCAAATTCACAATAACTATGATACTCAGCATAACAAAGAAAGCCAAAAAACTTTTATATGTAAAATGCTTTGGTGTTTATATCTTGTAATTTTTATGAATAATCTCTTTATAATGATTAAATAGTTTAAGCATACTAAAATTTATATCATCATCATGTATTTTCATGACAATATTTTCATATAACTAATATAAATATAAATAATATAAATAATAATATTTCAAATATGAGTTCAATTCAACTTCTGTTCAGAATTTCAGTAATGACAATGGTACTGTACATGTTACATAGCCCCAATTTGTTTGTTTTTTCTAATAATGTCCCTACACATGCTGACACTTCTTCCATGATGCTACAACTGCAGAATGGAAGTTTTTTGGCTGGTATTGGATCTACTGCATGATGAATGTTCTGACATCAGAATTCATCATGCTAAAATCATATAAAATTCAGTGTTCTGGATGAATTTCCTGTTTCTCAAAGCTTCCTTTAAAGGGTTAGCAGGTGATATTTGCACAATGACATATCCAGACTGTAGGCCATTTGATTGAGAATTTCCCAACCAAGTCACAATGCCTCCCACAGACCCATGTTATGAACCAGCCAAAGACTTCTATTCTACAGGCATAGTATCATTGCCAAAATAATGGGAGAAATGTCAGTGAGTGGAGGCAGAGTATATAGAGTAAACATAACTTTATATGTTTTATAGTCTCAATTTAACAAATAAAATCAAAAATGAATTTTAGCAATTCCCTTGAGTGTTTTTTGTGTGTTGATTTTTCTATTTACAAATTTTTTAGCAAGTTTTAACTTTTATGTTTTATAGTTTTACTAGTGATGGGATGATAAAAATTCTCCAGATTCCAATTCTGCCAAAACTCCCAAGTTGATACAATTACAGATTCCTTTGAATAGTTTCTAAAGTTTATTTTTGTTTAGAAAAATTAATGATTTACATTATGAGTATGGTACATTCATTCATGAATAAGCATTCAAACTTAAGAATGGAAAACAATTGGGAAATCCAGAATTGATCTTTCAAAAAGAAACCAGAAGATTCTCCAATTATATGTGGAAAGGCATACTTCTATTATTACCTCCCAACAACCTACTGGATTTTATGGTGGGCTATAGATCTAAATTAAAATTCTGAGCTGAAAAGAAGTTAATGAGCAATTTATAAACCAGCAAAAATGGTATGTGAGGATAATGTTTTTTAATAAGTATTATCATTTTCAGAATTTATTCTGTTTAAAATAAAGATAAAATAATTTCACATACCCAAAACTATTTCATAATAGATCCATTTACAAAATATTGTAAAATTTAATTTTTTCAGAATAAAACTTTTTATTCTAAATATAATTCAATTTTAAAATAAGAAAAAAATTAGTATGAAATATAATAGTTTTATTTTTTTTTATCACTTATTGCTTTTATAGAATTTTGAAACAAAACATATTACTTACATATTTTTCCAAATATAAAGTTTGATTATCCAATAATGCTTTGACCATCCTCATCAAATATATTAATAATGCCAAATTATTTTGCACAACATTTACTTTTACCTAATAAAAAATTTTGAATATTAATTTTTATAAAGTAAAACGTAATTATGTAAATATTATTTTTGTTTTACGTACTCCTTCAGAGATAAAAGTACATAATCGAGGCAGCATTTGATGAAGGCCAGGATCTGATGCCAAACTCTGAAGTGCTTCCTAAAAATAATTCAAAATTATATAAATTTATTCATCTTTTTTTAAGACTTAGTTTGTTATTACACTACTTTAAAAACTACTTAAAATTATTATTATAAATCAGATATATTTATCAGATGTCAAAAATTATTCTAAAAAAAAAAATACATATTTTACTTTAAACTTTAAAGTAAAATATGTATTTTTTTAGAGTAATTTTTTCAATGCAATCATTATAGACTACTTTATTTATATAGGTTCAAAATGCATTTTAATCTGAAATTACTATTTTTCCAGAAACATACAAAATATAAAGTTAATAGAAAGAATAATTTAATATTTTCTTCAATCTAGAAACACAAAAGAAAATTAAAAGAATGTTAATCTTTTCATTATTAATTAATTAACCTTTAGCTAACTGCAATGAAAATTTGATCATGTGTATAGAATTCACTAAAAAATAAAAGATTCCAAGCATGTATATATATTAACTGTAAGAAACTGACATTTTCTACATTTTTATTTATTTAAACATTATTTGAGCCAGTTAAAATACTTTAATTTTTATTAGATTATTTAACCTAATAAAATAAGTTAAAATTCTATAGTAACATTTTGGAATATTTTATGTGCTTGACTAAATATTTGTAAAAATATTATTTTCTACCATTAGCTTCTTTAAGCTTCTATACTCAACTGATATTATCTTTTGAAAAAGGATCAGAACAGAATTAAATAAAGAAATCCCTTTTAACTTCTAGATTATTAATCAGAACTAGTTATGCTATTAAATTTATTTTACACATCTCTATTGTTATATTTCCAAAGTTTATTTCCAAATATCAATAATAATTTCATAAATTCTTTTTCCAATTAGAATCTTAAAATCCATCTTATTCAATTATCCATTTTTTTGTTAGCATTTTAATGTAAAGAAATAGGTTTAAAATATTAGTTCATCAAAAACTATAAATTTTTTATTTTATTTAACTGTATGTTTATTTTTAAACTTTAGTTANATAAAAAAAACCCCGCTGCAATGTGTAAAAAGTCTGTATCTGTATGAATGTGTAAAGAAAAGGTACTTCCACCTCCTCCTCACATCATCTGACTACCCGGCATAATTGGTGTCTGCTCCATTTTCATTTTTTATGGTACAGTACGGTTATTTTATGCTGCGGAACAAATTATGTGTTTTAACATGTATTTCTATGGAGAAATGCGTTTCGTATAACGGACGTGCACCTGGAACGAATTAAGTACGTTGTACGAGGCACCACTGTAAATATATCTTATATGTTATGTATGATCAAAATATTAAGGTATGGTGTAGATCAGTGTTTTTCAACCTTCTTGAATATGCAACCCCTTTACAAGTTAAAAAATTCTGGTGACCCCCCCTAGGGCCATATTAAAACTATATCAGTGATTTAAAAACTATGTATTTAATTTTCTTTCTGTTGAGACAAATTATTGCTGATTAAAATGAAAATTTCAGAAGAATTGACAATAACTTAACACATATAAAGTATGAAACTTCCTTTGATTATAACATTGGGCACAGGGAGCTGTTGAACCCCCCTTTTTTTTAGGATCAGAATTTTCAGCTTCTACTTTTCTACTTTTTATTTCTTTTAGCATATTTGCTCAACACTTTTATGGCTATGATTTTCTGGGGTGGACCATATCCACCCAGGTCCCTCCCTGGCTACACCCATGGTTGAGACCTAAATATCGATAAAAACCAATTGTACTGTAAAATAAACAGATACATCCTTCTCGCTGAAATTGTAGTTTTTTTAATGTAGTGTAGGACCTACAAACACTTGTCTTTTTCTTTTACCACAACCCCCATGGGGGTTGCGACCCACAGGTTGAAAAACACTGGTGTAGCTATTTAACTATATCTGATAAAAGTAGTATTGTAATATTAGAAATACTACATAAAAATGTTTTAATATAAAATAAAATAGCCTTATGCAGATTTTTTTGCAATGACCACACTAGAAAGGTCAGGTATTTATCTGGTTGTGTTACAACAACCAGATAGTAATGCAAATCTTTAGTTAGACAGACTCATAATTTTATTGTAATGGCCCTGATGTAAAAACATCAGGGCCATTACAATAAAATTACAAGTCTGTCTAACTGAACACCAGAATAATATCCATACAAGCAAGTGTTCTACAGAACTTTCTAGAGATGTGGTGGAAGGAAATTGTGTGCAGATACAGAATGAGACTTCACTTCTTGTACAATGTGTTGACAAAAAGTTACTTTTAACTGGGAGATATTATTTATTGAAAGATTGGAACCTTATAATAAATCTATGTTGGAACTCCCAATAATTTGGGTATCACTCTTCAAAAGTTTGAACTTTTAATATTTCACAGTAATGTTATTTATTGGCTGTAATTCTAAATGCATGTACAGTGAAACCTCGGTATACGACCTTAATCTGTTCCTGATGTTTGGACTTATACCGAATATGACATATACCAAACCAACCTTTCCCATAAGAAGTAATGTAAAAATGATTAATCCGTTCTCATGTAAAAAAAAAAAAATGGCTGGCTTTTTACACCTCGCTTTCCTGGCTAGTTCCTGCTTGATTTTTCATGAGATCAGCATGTATCTTTTTAGCTTTCTCACAAATAATTGCTTCTGATACGCTGTCTCCAGCACACTGTTTTTCAGTTATCCAAAGCAAAAGCAATTTCTCAACATGATCTAATGTCTTCGATCTCTGTTTAGAAATTGATTTAACCCCTTTCGCAACGTTAGCAGATTTAATAATGTCTTTATTTTTCACGATTGTCGATATCGTCGTTCTCGGAATACGGTATGCAACAGTTAAATCTCGAACACGCATGCCACCTTCATATTTCTCAACAATCTCTTTTTTCAGTTCCATTGTGATTCTAGTCATTTTTTTATTTTTCTGTTGCCTTTTTGCAATTCATGATTAATAAAAATAATAAAATTTTACTTACAAATTAAAATCAGAAGAAATTTAACAAAGTTATAAACCGTGGCACCGCGAACGTCTAGTCTGGTCTAGTACACCGATAGTGCTACTTGTTCATAGATGGCGCGTATAATTGAATTAAGTCGTATACTGAGCAAAATTTGTTTCGTCCAAACAGGACATATTCCGAATTGGACGTATTCTAAAGCAGACGTATACCGAGGTACCACTGTACATGTTAGTAATTTAGAATTACTAACATTTACATGCCATTAGTAATTCTAAACTACTAATTATCTTGTTATTTTATCACCTTGCAATTTAGTACTAACATCTCTCTATGCACATGCCATTTTCATGCCTAAGTTTATTTAAATTTAACATTGCAAATTTATATTGCATTTTCGAATATTTAATCTTTTATTTTTAAAAATTTATTCTAATGTTCCTAAATTACATTATTTTCTTTGCCTAAAGATGGTATTGATAAAATGTTGAAAGTGCTTGCAACAATATTATAATAATAACTGTTTAAATAATCTCATCTATACACACTGTAAAATATACAACTTACTTCTGACTCGAAACCAAAACAGTGCTTAGTTCAATATACCTTCACTAAAGTTTTTGAACTTAGTTCTTCTTCAGGTGAATAAAAGAAAACGGGCAGAATCGATGTTATTCAAACATATCTGTTTCATACGAATTCTGAAACGCAGTGTTCTAAGGAAACCCGTGCAATCATCGTCTTAAATTTGCGCATGCTCTGTAGATAGAAGAATCACTTTTGGCTTCTCACGTATCATAAATAAGAGTTTGCCATGCTATCGATAAGGATGGTTCATCCTTATTGTTTATACATTCATCTTCTCTTGCTGTTTTATATATATAGATGGAAGCGATATATATATATATATGCTATGGGTCACATGAATGCGCAGAGATATACAATTGACCCATGAGTGGGTGGGTGGAAGCTATTAAATGCTGCTATCTTATACTGCCATGGGTCACATGGCAGTATAAGATAGCAGCATTTAATAGCTTGGTGAAAAGAGCACATACCCACTCATTGACAGCGCAGGCACTTGCTACAGAGATCAACACCATTAATAATATTGCCAAAAGACACGGATATAATAATAGGATAGTCACGAGGGTAAAAAAAAAAAATGCTTTATTCCCAAAGAACAGAACAAACAGAAGTACAAGGGCAACAAAGTAACATTCAGAAAGACAGAATCCTGATTACTTACAATCCATACTTAGAGAAACTGTATAAAGAAATCGCCAAAAGAAAACAGGCCTCCTTAATATTTAGATGATGTCGAACTCTTTTTAAAATGCCAAATAATGCAAAAGATACTCCACATAACAACAAATTAGCAGGAGTATACAGGATGCCTATAAAAGATCATAGGTGGGATAAAGACTTAGTATATCTGGGATCCACAAAAAGATCGTTGGAGGTGAGGCTCAAAGAACATAAAGCAGACATCCTACATAAAAGACATACTACAGCATTAGCACAATATGCCACAGACCCTGACATACAAGCATTATTTGAGGAGGCAAAGATAATATACACCACACAGCAACCACACCATTTGCACTGGATGGAAGCGATATATATATATATAAAACAGCAAGAAAAGATGAATGTATAAACAATAAGGATGAACTATCCTTATCGATAGCATGGAAAACTCTTATTTATGATATGTGAGAAGCCAAAAGCGATTCTTCTATCTACAGAGCATGCGCAAATTTAAGACGATAATTGCACGGGTTTTCTTAGAACACTGCGTTTCAGAATTCGTATGAAACAGATATGTTTGAATAACATTGATTCTGCCTGTTTTCTTTTATTCACCTGAAGAAGAACTAAGTTCAAAAACTTTAGTGAAGGTATATTGAACTAAGCACTGTTTTGGTTTCAAGTCAGAAGTAAGTTGAATAACTGTTTAATGCCAATAGACAGTAGTGATCTAATTCTTTAATTGAGTAAAATGAAAATATTTGCTTTCCATTATATAAACGCAGAAAAAAAGAATCTGAAGAATATAATAAAAAAGAATAATCTTTTTTGTTATATTATTACTATTAAATTTCAAAAAATTTTGTTACTTTTTATTCACCTTTTAGAGAAACATCAAGAGGCAATTTAGGTAGTTGAGCACTTATAATATCATTTAATTCCAATTCCTTTTCTTCAATGAAGTAGAGTTCTCGACCTCCACCACTTGCAAATCGAAAAGGAATAAATTCAGGGTTGGAAAATCCATACAATGGCTTAAATTGTAATGGAAAAAATAACAGTTCTATCAAAACCTTACACATTATTAAGTCAGATTATATATATATATTTGAAATTTTTTCACTAGTTCTAGTGCAAAATCGTCTGACGAATCTATTGGCGTTTGAATTTTTCGTTTCTGACTGTAACTTTTCGAGTTATNGCTTAAATTGTAATGGAAAAAATAACAGTTCTATCAAAACCTTACACATTATTAAGTCAGATTATATATATATATTTGAAATTAATACTTAAATTCTGGCATGAAATATTTGATTTCATGTCAGACAGAATATATGATAATAATATAATATAATCAAATATGTGAAAATTTTTGTTCTTAAAATATACTGTATAATAGAAATAAATTACATCATGAATTATAAGACAAAAATCAGTTCAAATATACTATAATCATTTTTAAAGTTCACTTTACCAAAATATAAATCTTCATAGAGATTAAGGACTACTATAATAGTTGATATTTCAATATTTCAATTATATTCATGTCTAATTAAATATATAGTTAAACATGTATATAATTTATAGGTGAACTAAACAAAAATAGCAAAACAAACTATTTATAGAAGTCCTTTGCAAAATACCTTGATAATTACTTTGACATTTTTATATTCGAAAATGAGAACTAAACAAAATTCTTTAAATATGCCCTACATGATAAAGGATACACCATTATTTGAGGAAAAAAGAAGGCCTTGAATTTAGTCTCTCTTATAATAATCTCTACAAGGATGAACAAAATGGCATGATAGAGAGCTAGCAGTTCAAAACAATGCAGTTTGTCACAAGTAATCTCATACTCTAAAATACAGTAATTTCATTAAATTAAGTAACAAGTATGTATTTACTTATTTCATGTAAATAAAAATAATAGTAAGTACACACACACACACACACACATATATATATATTATATATACAGTTTAACCCGATTATAACATCATTGGATGTAACGACAACCCTAATATAAATTTTAAAAAATTAAAAAAAATTTTTTTTAAATTAATATAAATATAAATTTTTATTGATCCCATGATTTTATTATACTAGATAATGTTAAAAAACCCACTTGTAACAACATAAAACCCTGTTTTAATGTCATATTTAAAGCCCTCCCAGATTTACAAAATTATATTACAAATTTTATTTAACAAAGAAAATATAGTACATGTACTAGGTGTTAAGTTTCTAGGGTCAGAGGCACATCCTAGAATGACTGTGGGCGGTACTCTCACCACCTGATTTTGGTGGTCACATCTTTAAACGACGTGACGATCAGTCAGTCTGCATAGTTACTCATGTTATTTTATAAGGTGCAGATATTGTTTAGCAAATTAAATCTTCAGACAAAAAAATGAGGATGATGAAGATAAAACATCAGACAGACAAAATGAAGTGCCGTCAACCAGGGAAGAGCATAATGCAATAAGATTATTGAAAATGTTTTAAAGGTCTCGGAAAACTTCATTGAAAATAATGAATAAAGTGTATGATTTAGAAAATGACATTGATAAACAATTTTTAGGTGAAAAACACCTACAATCTAAAATAACTGACTTTTTTAAGTGAATATTGTTATTATGTCTTTTTAATTAACATACATTAGTTTAACCTTTTGTTGCCTTTTGATTTGACATTATTCTCAAAACCAAAAGTGCCACCATTATCGAAACTTAAGACAAATAGAAATTTCTTATAAAAGGTAATTTCTGAAATTTTTAATTACATCAATGTAAACTTAGACATAATAATGTAAATGAAGTTGATTTAAACATTTAGTTTGCACTTTTATACATACGATAATAAATTATTACCATAATAGATACAGTATACTATATTACCATTAAGAAATAATTTTACAGTAATACATACGATGTTAAATTAGAATGGATTTTACAATAGATTCTTAAACACACTTGGTACTTTTTATGGGACTGAAATTATGATCCCGCAGATAACGACACTCAGTTATAACGTCAAAAAATTGCCGGTCCCATGGATGATGTTATAATCGGGTTAAACTGTATATATATTACATACTATATACAGTAAAACCTTCATTAATGGACACTCCTGAATAGCAGACACCTCTATCTACTTAACGGACATTTTTACAATTCACAGTCCCTGCAAATAAGACATCTATTATATTTAGCTCTGAATAACAGATGCTGTCATCTATAACCAAACTCATGGAAACAAAACATATTGCCTTCAGTATTCTGAAATGATTAATTACATACAAAATATTTTAAAATGAAAATAAAGAATTGGTTCAAATATTCTTTCAGATGACAAATTTTGACCATAGGTGTCAAATAAAAACTGCTGAAAATAAGAATAGAGGAGTAGGGCAGGTTGTAAAAAGCTGAACAATACTCTTTATCTATTAGAGAAGACTAATCTGGTTAGTTATCAATCACCACTTATCATCATATATATTAATGTTATTAAAGTTCTGTGTTATTTTTGGAATTAAACTTATGGTATCAACACACCATAAACTTTTTCTGGGTTATTCATTCATTCAACAAGAACCGTAATACCAGTAGTAATGAAAAGAAACTTAAAATGGTTACAACAATAGCATTTGTGATGAAAGTTCAAAGGCCATTTGCCAGGTCACTTTAAAGTGTGGGAATATATTCAGTATTCTTGCATTTATGATCTTAACAGCTTTGTGATTGTGTAGATATAATTTTTAATAAACCATTTATTGAAAAAAAAAAAATGCTTAAAAAAATTACACCTACTTGATAATATGAAGCAGACAAATCATATCAATTTTTATTAGTTGCTTAGATCATAGATGACATTATAAATGAATGAATACTGAATATATTTCCACCCCTTGAAATGACTAACAAATTGCCATCATAACTTGACATTTGAACTCTCACCATTTAAACCAACCTTCATCCACCCTTCTGTTTCCAGCATGTGCCTCCTAATAGCTCGAAACAGGGCATAAACTTCTTGGTTCTGACTGAATCCACTATCAGAGGTTATACTGTGTATATATATATACAGGAGGAAAAGAGTCACTTAACACCCCTACTACAGAACATAGAATGTACCCAAAGTTAATTTGCTCATGTCAGGAACACTTTAGACCAAGGGGGAAACAGATTGATGTGTGTTACAAGCATGGCCTCCATCTTGATGGCAGCCATATTGAATGCAACACCAAAACTACAAATGGGAAGAAGGTCATGTGACACATCATTTAGAGTCAGAATTTCACAAGGAAATTGATTGCTGAAAGATTTTATTGACCTACCTCAAACGGTTAGAGTTATGCATGTTACATGATGTGCTCAATGTACTGTACATTCTTTGGATACATTCTATATTCTGTAGCAAAGATGTGAAATGACTTTATTTTCCACCCTGTATATATATATACATACATTACCATGCAATGCAGTTTTCACCATAATGCAATCATTATTTGGAAAGAAAAGTGTGCAAATTTTTCTTATTTCCAACCAATAAAAACTAATAATTGTTGTAAATAAAAACTGTGAAGTAGATAGATTCAAAATTGTATTTTTAAATGAATCAATGAAATATATAATGAATATTATAGTAAAAATTTTATGAAATTAGATAGCCACAGATTTTTTTTGGATGAAGTCAGCTAGTTAGTTACTTTATTGACTGTAGGAGAGAAAATTGATTTCAATAGAATGAAATTAAGGCAATAAGATTTAAATCCCACGAAAAACAAAAAAGGAAAACTTAAGTATGTTATAAATTCTTATATAATACAGATGAGAAAATTTAGTACCATTAATGTGATTGCATTTTTGCTATAAATTAAAGCAATATGCTGTAAACAAATTATATGAATTTTCGTGTATGACTTCATCTTCATAAAACTGTTTTACAGAAAAAAATCACGGAGAAAAACTTAATTTCTCCATATTTGTTTATAGTATCAATACAATGAAATGTATTCCTTAATTTTCAATAAATTTATACATAGTAAAATTCCATTATCCAAACACCACTGCCCTCCTTTCTCTTTCCATTGACATCACACTGCAATTCTTTTATGTCATGCAACTGTAATTCTCTTATGTTCACAGTGAATATAAATCATGTCTGCAAACTTGCAAAAATGAAAACATGACATGAGAAGAAGGAAAAATTAAAGTCAGTCCACATCTGTAATCACTTACTATGACACTCAACCAGCCATTTACTTCCCTCAGTAAATCCTATAATTGTTGGTCTCATTATAAAATATCAGAATTTGAGATGTTTATATTTGTCTCTTTACAGTATCAATTTTAGCAGTTTACTTGATCTCTTAGATTAGTTGAAGATCCAAAAAGGGAGTAAAGGTAGGAAACAGTTAGAAATGAAGACAAAGAATAATTTAGTAATCTCTATAGAGAAGAATCAAGCAGAAAGCCTATAAATAAACAAGTTGAAGGATCTGAAAAAAATCTGGAAGGACATTGATCAAATCAAAGAAAACTAGACAGCTAGAAAGACATCTGGTATCGACCTTGATTCTCAACCACTAAGTTATCTTTATTCACTTATACATAGTTTTTCTAATGTACTATAATGTATGCATAAATAATTAAAAAAAACTTTTTAAATAAGCTATTTTATTTTTAAAAACAAAAGTATCTCCATTGGAACCTGGAAGGATTATACTGCTACAGGACCACAATATATTAAGCTAATTCATATCCTTGAAAATAAAAAGGATTTTTTTTAATGCTAAAATTCTTTTTTACTTATTATCTGCAAATGCATTATATATCCATAAGCTTACTATCATTCAAAAATTGTCCATTTGAGATAATTTCTCCAAGAATTTCATCTCATCCAATTAGATTTTGATATTTGATCTCAAAATGTTAAGCTAGAATAGCAAAACTTATACCATGTTTTTTTGTTCCTTTATTTCTTCATTCTATTCAACAAATCTCAATTCAATATATCTAAACATTCCTAA